AATGTTCTTGGGGATAGTTGAGCCAATTTGATCCTTTCCACCATTTGCATCCATAGAAGTCGTGCTTGTCAATCTCCTTCGTGGCATAGTCGGCTGAGTTCTCTTTTGTCAGAACATGGAAGAAATTCAGCTTTGCTGATGTTCCTATTCTTTCTGCAGCAAATCCGATCTTTTGAGCCAAGGTGGTGACAATTGGTGATACTGTCTTGTGCTGCCTATCCATGACAGTGCAATTATAGAATCAATGGGGTTGACTTCTGTAAATTTAATTCTCACTTGGACAAAGTAGTTTTCGCAACGAATTGTCCGATAAATATAGACAGCAGTGCTAGCCTTGGAATGGTTTGCTCCTTCTTGATTGGTGCAACTTTGGCTTTTGCTGTGTAAAGTGCCGTGTCCATTTTCCCATTTTCTATATTGTGACATAGCAGCAGGCGTAAACTTTTTTAGAGCCCTCAACCAAAATGGCAGGCTTTTGTTTAGCTTCAGGCGTTTTTTGTAGCACTTTGCGTGGGATAGACTTATTGAAGCCAACAATATCTTCTTTGATTGCACTCCACTTTCCAACTTCTTTCTGGAAGATTAACATCCCATCCCAGCTTCTGCTTGCGGTTGTCTTGCATGACAGTATTCGCAGGTATCATCAGCGGAGTTAGTAGTAGGATTAAGAGAATGGACCTCTTTGGTTTTTGGCTTTGAACTCGAGATGGATTCGAAGTGGTGTAAAATTAAGCTCCCCATATTGTAGAGCTTGCTTTGCTCTTGATGGTACCTTGAAACATGTCTGAGAATAAGAAGTGCACGACTCATAGCGGTTGAAAGTGAAAACGAACGAGACTTATGAGACAGCCTGATATCTTTTCTTCGGATTTTACCTCTTCTACAGAAAGTTTTTGCCCTGACAAATATAAGGCTGTGTTTGATAGTGAAGTTGGTGAGGCCGGCATTGATCATGCAATATGGAAACAAGACTGTCTCAGCTTCTTTTTATTTTGTGAAACGCTTTTTCGATGCCAGCCATTTACTTAAACGTTTGAATTGTTTTCATTGAAGATTCGGTAAATTCTTATAAGAAACATTGTACCCAAAATACTCACGAACTGCAAATTCGTCTGCTTTCTGCTTCCCCGGAAGGCAAGAAGTAATAACAATATCAGCATTTGTGCTCAAGGAAAATTGAGCAATTAGAAACTCGCTGTTGATTACATTTGTTCCTCAGCAAAAGTAAAAGCTTTTTATTTCAACTTCTTTGATACAAGCAGTAGCCC